GTCGGGTGCAACTCACAGCAGCCTTGTGAACAATCTTGTGATCTGTACCCTGCCCTGTCCTGTGCCAACCTCACAATCTCTGACACACTTGAGCCTGTTGCTGCAGTTACTGTATTATTCCACCTGGTTGAAAGTCTTCCTCTCTTTCACCATCCCTCCACCCTCCCAAGCAAAAGGTTCCTCTCTAATGAATAGCCTCTCCTAGCAACATGCCCAACATAATTTATTAGTATAATTATTTATATTAACTTATTAGGAGAACTTTATGTCTTAGATGTATAAAGGCTTGGGTGTTATTATTTGCTCCTGTTAGTGCAGTGTGCATCTCTCAGTCTATTGTAGTTTGTGGGGTACTCTAATGCTACAATCTGTTCCACTTTTGTCTCAGGTACCAGAAAGTTCCCTGATGGTAGAGAGGTTGCAATAGAGCTCATAGATTAAGACAAACTAGGAAAACAAACAGATTCATCCTGGAAAGGGTTAAATTGGACAGCTCCTTGGAGGCAAGGATTCTGAGGCTCCCATCTAACATACTTTGGACATGTTGTAAGGAGGGACTGGTCCTTGGAGAGGGACATCATGCTTGGGAGGGTGGAGGGACGGCGCAGGAGGGGAAGGCCCTCTATCCCTCTATGAGGTGGATTGATTCAGTGACTGGGTAATCAGGATGGGTGTATCGGAGACAGTGCGATTGGCACAGGACAGAGCAGAGTTTAGGGCTGTTGTACATAGGGTCGCTATGAGTTGCAAGCGACTAGACGGCACATAACAACAACAATAAGAAGACTTGGCCATCCACTTCTGAAACAACAGGCCTCTGAAAACCCTAGAGCAGAGGAACGTGGGTAGTTATAAGACATAGAGCCTAGATAGGGAGTCACTCAAAATGAGCAAAAACAGCTGCAAACAATAATGAATAATTAGAACGTGGAATGTACAAAGTATGAATGTAGGGAAAATAGAAGTTGTAAACAATGAAGTGGAACACATGAAGATTGACGTTTTAGGCTTGAATGAACAGAGATGGACAAGTACTTTAAATCAATCAAGTGGAACTCAGTCTCTTATCCATCTGTTGTGGTACTGACAACTGGTCCAGTGGTGAGTATTGTGTAAAAAAGGCCTCATAGAACCAGGTGAAGGGAAACAAAGGAGTTAATGATCATCTCTTGGGTGAAGTTCCACAACCCCAAGCCAGAGGAAGGCAGTGTGGGGATGGGAAGTCTTGTGTGTGAAAGCTATAACAAAAGTTTTAGATGTGGGGGCTGGAGGTAGGCTGGTTTATTCAGTGGTCAGCTCTCTGTGGAGGAAGCTGATTGGATGCCCTCTACGTGTTCCTGTGTATGGAGCTACGCATGACCCTCAGGTGGGTTGTGTCACAGCTGACGTTAGGTAGGATGTGGCAGGTAGTCATCCTCTCTTCCGATTGGTTGTAGCCATCTTACACCCTGATTGGAATGTCTCTTAAGAGGTGCATCAGCGTGGAATGTTGCCCAGCTTCCAGATGGCCTTTCAAGAATCTATGTTTTCTTGATGCTGAGCTTTAATCCATATTGAAGACTATATCCTTGACCTTCTGCAGCAAATGTTTCAGGTCCTCCTCAGTTTTAGGAAGCAAGATTGTGTCCTCTGCATAATGCAGGTTATTGATGAGTCTTTCTTCAGTCATGTAGCTAGGCAAGGCTATTGTTTGGAAAGGGACATCGTGCATGGAAAGGTAAAAGGTCAGCAAAGGAAAAGAAGACTCCAGGCCACAGGGATTGACATGATGACTTCAGCAATGGACTTGAGTGTGTCAGAGCTGATGGGAATGGCACAGGATAGGTCAGGGTTTAGGTCAACTCTTCATAGTGTTGCTATGAGTTGTACTTGATAGCACCTAACAACCACAAAAAATTTACCATGGTATAATAAACATAACTCTTTTGTATTATTCTAGAAATCATTTAACAAATGTAACACCTTAAAAAAACTATGATCTCACCACAATAAGAATAGCAAAATTCAACATAGCAGCAAACAACAAATGCTGATGAGGTTGTGGAGAAACTGGAACCCTTATTTGTTGTAGATTGAGGGTAAAAGTATATTAATAAGTACTAATAACTAGACAGAACACCAAGAATGTATAAGTAAAAAGAGGTAAAGCAGGAGGTGAGCAGTTCTCAAACAACTGAAGCGCTGATCCCAGCTTCCATGTGCCTTTATTCAAAATTGCCAGGAAGCAAATCACAAAGAGAATTCTATGCAAATGAAGCTAAGTTCCTTCTATTAAGCATCTTTTGCTTGACTTAGGAGAGAGGGATTAGCAAATACAATACAAGAATTGTATAAGTGCCTAAGGTTTGCCTTAGTACACATTTAAGGTTTGCCTTAGTGCTTCCAGCTTGTATCCATGCCTCCCTCATATCCTGATATAGCATTTGGTTTATTATAAATATTTAGTATGAAATTTGGCTTCCCACACTTATTCACTGTTGGGTACAACCACTATGGAAGGCAGTACGACACTTTTTCAAAACGTTGCAAATAGAAATACCATTTGACCCAACAACTCCACTACTGAGAATATACCCTAAAGAAACAGTACTGTCACCCAAGCAGATATATGCACACCCATGTTTATTGCTGCTTTGTTCACAATAGCAAAAAGTTGGAAACAACCCAAGTGCCCATCAACAAATGAATGGATAGAAAAGCTGTGGTATAGGCACACAATGAAATACTATGCAGCATTGAAAAACAAGAAACTCATTCATGAAATATACAAAATGAGTGACCATGAGAACATTATGCCAAGTGAACTATCTCAGTCATGAAAGGACAGATACTGCATAATTCCACTGTTATAAAACGGGACTGACATTTGGGTTGTGAGGAAACTAAGAAAAGAGGGATACACAATGTATATGGCATTGAAACAAATGAAGGAGAAAACTGTTTAAAAGGAATGTATTTGCATGACAAGAGTCCAGAATAAGAGCTGCACAGTAAAGTAGACTGGAGGAAGGGTATAACAAAGAATTTTTTTTTTCACTTCAAAGAGAAAAGTGAACTGGTGCGGGAGGGATGGACAGGGAAGAAAATGTGCAAAAATGAATGAATGAAAATCCAAGTTCTCTAAACTTTCATTAAAATGTCAATAAAAAATTACCATTTACTACAATAAAAATAATTATAACACCTTTTATTTCTATTACTCTAGAATTACCTACCTAAATGAGAAGTCCAGGCTTTGTCCATGAGAATTGATGAAATAACAGGGGACTTTCCTGTCAGCATCAGACCAAAGCATTAACTTCCCACACCTAATTTGGTACTTATGAATTAAAATCTTAATTTTGTGATGGCTTAATTTTATGATAAGCTCTGAGATGGATGATGCTGTCTCTCTCCTCTTGTTGTGACTCAATGAGTTAAATCAACCCATGGCTGACCCTCCAGTGGGTTTTTAGAAGCAGTAAATCCCATGGGAGGAGATAGGCCATCCTTCTCCCCAAGAGCAGCTGGTGTATTTGAACCACATGCCTCTGTAATTGCAGCACAGCTTCTTGCCACTAGGCTGCCAGCCCACCATATAATATCAGCAACTCTAAAACTAGTCCTCTTTTTCCAGCCAGTTCACATGAGTGCTTCCAGTGGCTATGGGAGCCTGGGGAGCAGTGGCTCCCAGGAACATCATGTCAGTGTTGCATCTTCCAGTGAGTCCAGTGGGCACTGCGTGGAGGAGATACAAAAGGAGCCTGTAAGTTAGTGATTTGTACGGTTGTCTTTTCCTTGGTCTTGTTATCTAGGTTGTGTCAGTGGTCAGTGCTAGATCTGTCCCTGGGCACACAGTGACTGCTTAGCATGTTTGTCTCCTTTTTCTTTTCTTCTTATTGTGATTTGAGTGAAAGTTTTAAAAACATATTGGTTTTCCTTTGCACTATTTATAAACATTTTGTTTTATGGCATTAATTAGAATACCTGCAGTGTAACTGTACTCTTCCCACTTCCTTCTTGTGGTTCTTGTTTCTGTTAATCCTTCTGTCCTATCTCTTCCTGCCTTCTGTGCTTTAACCCTAGGCAATTGCTGCTCTTTTGATCTTACTTAGTGTCTGTTCTTAACTTGAAGATCTTGTCTAATAATGTTGTTGTGTCCTGTTGAGTTATTTCTGACTTGTGGAGATCACCATATCTTTTTTCCTTTGATGCCACTGGTCGGTTCAAACTGTCAATGTTTTGTTTGGCAGTTAAGCACTTAACTATTTTACCAGCATGGTTCCTTTACCTGATTTTGTTGTTATTGTTGTGTGTTGTTGAGTTGGAACCAATTCATAGCTGGCCCTTAAGCTTGTTTTAAGAGGCAAGAAGTTGCACGGGAAGAGATTGCCTGTCCTTTTTCCACAGAGCAGCTGGTAGATTCTAAACTCATGCCTTTGGGTTTGCAGCACAGCTTCTTACCATTAGGCCACCAGAGCATAAAAACTTCATTCTCTGCGGTTTGGGAAAATTCCCATAAAAAGGAAATAGCAGCTTTGGAATATCATATTTGAGCTAACAATATATATGTTTTTAAAGTTAGTATCTTGTAAACAGACTTATCTAAAGTTTTATTTGTGCCAGCGTATATGAGTGCGAGTGGGAAAGGAGGTTGGAGTTACTACTGGACTTTTGGATATCTTCAGAGAACTCAAAGCTAGATGTCTTTATACTTTAATGCCCATTTTGCCGTTCTTAAGGCATATCTTTTCAATCTTTTTTCTAAGATGACCTTGCAGCAGGTCTATGCCAGTGTGAACAAGATTAAGAATGTGGGTCAGCAGCTCTACATTGAGTCAATGTCGAAATCACCAGATAAGCCAGCAGTGAGGACATGTACCAAACCCCTGGGTGGTAAGTCAGTAGAATAGTCCTGGAATTATTCTCTCTCAACTGTGCTCTTACCTCCTTACCTGCATAGACATGTCTATAACCTGTGATGCTTCTTTTCTTATTTATTTGCACGAATGCTAAAAATAAAACAACTCTTTACCATTAAGTTGAAACCAACTCATGAACTCTCCAGAAGATTTTTGGAAGCTGTAAACCTCATGGGAGGAGATTTCTTTTGTGGAATGATTGCTGGATTTGAACCTCAGATAGGCTCAACGTTTTAGTTAGCCGAACAGCGCACTCTGAATTATACCACCAGAGCTCCTTATGACAATACTCATAGTAGTAAAAATAATGTTATGGCAGAAATGTGGGATTCTAAACACTCGGCCAGAGTTTAGGGACCAAGAAAACTTTATTGCATGTAACTATAACATCAGCTAATGCTCAAACCTTTCTGACCCTGAGTTGAAGCAAAGGATTTATATACAGAGATTGGGCAGGGGGTTACACAAAATTCATTATGGTTGGCAGTTGAGACATCTTCACATTCAAGAGTTGTTGTTGTTTCTGATTTTTCATGGGTGTCCAGGCCCTGGGCCAGATGCAGGATGTAGTCAGGAAGTGGTAACCAAGCTGTACTTGAGTCAGCATGTACTAGAGAACATAAAGCTTAGCAAAACATGCTACTACCAAAATTATTGAGGCATACGTTCCTTAAAATAGCTGTCAGAACAAAATAATTTCCCTAATGCAAACATATAAAATGCTTCTCTAATGCTTAACATATACGGTGCTACTACAATAACAGCAAACACTAGTTTTAAATCTAAACAGCTTAGATGTAGTTCTAGTACACTTTTACTGAAGAGTTAACTTTTCTGATAATACCAGCAAGTTATGAATATTTTTCTCCCTATGTGGGTAACAATCATTCTATTTCCAGCTTCGTTTCTATCACCAAGCCCATATTTTCCAACTATGGTTCCTTCTTCACTGTTTCCTCCTTTTGCATTCCAGTCATCAGTTATCATTAATGCATCTTGATTACATGTTCAGTCACTTTCAGACTACAAAATTTGGTAAAAATTATCAATTTGTTCCTCTTTGGCTCTATGTGTAGGAGCATATATTTGAATAATATTTGTGTTAACAGGTCTTCCTTGTATGCAGATGGATACTATCCTATCACTCACAACGTTGTATTTCAGGGTAAAACTTGAAATTGACTTTTTGACCATGAATGCAATAGCACTCTTCCTGTTTTTCATTCCCTGCATAGTACACCATATGATTATCTGATTCACAGTGGGCATCGCTGGTCTTTCACACCTCACTAATGCCTAGTATGTCAATATTCATACTTCCATTTCATTTTTAACAATTTCCAGTTTCCCAGCACTCAAACTACATACATTCTGTGTACTAGTTGTTAAATGATGTTTGTTACTGATTTTTCTCATTTCAACTGACTTCCAGTCTGTGCTCTACCAATACACTATTGTAACTATACTCTTTGTTTAGTGTTCATTTTATGAAGAGGAGTGTGGCATCAGAATTGGAGGGAGACTCAATAACCTGTGTTATGCAGATCACACAACCTTACTTGCTGAAAGTGAGGAATACTTGAAACACTTGTTGCAGAAGATCAAGGAATGCATCCTTCATTATGGATGTTGTCTCAATGTCAAGAAAAAAAAGATTCTTAACATTGAACCAATAGTCAGTGTCATGATGGATGGAGAAGAGATTGAAACTGTCAACATCTTGCTATGATCCACAAATAACACCTTGTTATAAGGAGATGCATTGCACTTGGAAAATCTGCACTTAGGGACCTTTCCAAATTATTGAGGAGTAGTGATATCAGTTTGAGGACTAAGATGTGTCTGATTCAGGCCATAGTCTTTTTGATTACTAGCTGTGCCTCCGGGACCGGGACAATGAATAAGGATAACAGAAAAAGAATTGATACCTTTGAGCTGTGGTGTTGGAGAGCGCTGAACAGCCAAGAGAACAAACAGAGATGTCTTAGAGAGAGTGCAGCTGGAGTGCTCTTTGGAGGCAAGGATGATGAGGCTTCACTTCACATACTTTGGACATGTTGCTAGTAGGTGCTATTCCTTGGAGAGGGACGTGATATTGGGAAGGGTGGAGGGTCGGCAAAGGAGAGGAAGACCCTCAGCCAGGTGGACTGATATGATGACTGCTATAGTAGGCTCTTGTGTGTTAAGAAGTGTGAGGATGGCACAGGACAGGACTGGGTTTAGATCTTTTGTTCATAGAGTTGCTATGAGTTGTACTCGACAGTGCCTAACAACAATAACAACATGTAAACAACAACATATAATCTATTTGAGGAGCTCTTATGGCAAAGACCATCAACTACTCATATACAAGTTTAAACTGAAGCTAAAGAAAATGAAATTAAATCCACAAGAAACAAAATTGGATTTTGAGTTTATCTCACTTTTATTAAGAAATCATCTCAGGAACAGATTTGTGTCCTTGAACACTAATGAACAGAGATCAGACATGCTGTAGGAGGATATTAAGAATGTCATCCATGAAGAATGCAAAAGGTCATTACTAAGAGAAGAAAGAAAAGATCAAAGTGAATGACAGAAGGGACTCTGAATATTGCACTTTAATTCCAAGAAGCCAAAACAAAGGGAAGAAATCAGGAAGTTAAGGAGCTGAGCAGAAGATTTCATAGGACTGTGAGAAGATTATAATGAAACGTGCAGAGAGCTGGAGTCAGAAAATCGAAAGGGATGAACTTTCGTAAGCTAAAGGAATTAAAAGAACAAATTCAAGTACCAAGAGGCAATCATTAAGGATGCCATGGGCAGAATACCGAATGATCCAGGATGCATCAAAAAATGATGGAAGGAATACACTAAGTCACTATACCAGAAAGAACTGGCTGATTTAAAAGACTTTCAAGAAACAACTTATGATCAAGAAGCAATGGTGTATTTTAAATCCTGAAAGAGTATTTGAGAAAACTTGGAAATTTGTCTGTTTCTATCAAATACTAAATATAATTTTTAAAAAAGAGGCAATGATGATGAAAGAGGAAGTTCAGGTTGCTTTAAAGAAATTAGCAAAAAAACAAAGCCCCAGGAATTTATGGAATACCAACTGATATATTTCATCAAACAGATGCAGCGTTGGATGGGCTCACCAGTCTGTGCCAAGAAATCTGGAGAACAACCACCTTGCCAGTTTATTGGAAGAGATATGTATTTATTCCCATTCCAAAAAAAGGTGACATAACAAGTATGGGAATTATCGAACAAGATCACTAATATCACATACAAGAAAAACCCTACTGAATATTATCCAAAAATGACTGGAACAGAGAACTACCAGAAGTACACACTGGGTTTAGAAGAAGCTATGGTACTAGGAACATTTAGCCTATGTGAGATGGATCTTGGCTGAAAACTGAGAGTACCAAAGGAATGTTCTTTTGTGTTTCATTGACTATGCAAAGGCACTTGACTGTGTAGATGACAACAAATTATGGCTAGCCTTGAGAAGAATGGGAATCCCAGAACACTTGATTGTGCTCATATGAAACCTATACTTAGACCAGGAGGCAGTTATCTGGACAAAGTAAGGAAACACTATATGGTTCAAAATCAAGAAAGGAGTGCATCAGAGATGCATCCTGTCTCCATAGCTTTTTAATCTATATGTAGAACAGATCATTCAGGAGGCTAAATTCTGTGAGGAGGAATGGGCATCAGGATTGGAGGAAGACTTATAAACACCCTATGCTATGTGGGTAGCACAACCTTGCTTGCTGAAATTGAGGAGGACCTGAAGCCTTTGCTGCAGGAGGTCAAAGACTACAGTCTCCAATATGGACAGAGGCTCAACATCAAGAAAACAAAGATTCTCACCACTGGGCCAATTGGCAGCGCCATGATAGATGGAGAACGGATTGAGATTGTTTACTTGATTGCATAATCAACACTCTTAGCACCAGCAGTCAGGAAATCAAAAGATGAATTGCATTGGTAAAGTGTACTGTCAGGGACCTCTCCAAAGTGCTAAAGACCAGCAATGTCAGTCTAGAAACTAAGGTGCCCCCAATCTAGGCCATGGTCTTTGCATTTACTTACTGTGCATCTGAAAACTGGACAATGAAAAGGATCACAGAAGAATTGAGTGCTGGAGAAGAGTATTGACCATACCATGGACTGCCAAAAGAACCAACAGGTCTGTTCTGGAAAGGTGAAGCCAAATTGCTCCTTGGAGGCAAGGATTTTGAAGCTCTGTTTTACATACTTTGGGCCAGTCCTTGGAGAAGGACATCATGCTTCGAAGAGGGGGAAGGGATAATGCAGGATATGAAAATCCAAAATGAGATGCATTGACACAGTAACAGATAATAGGGATAGTGTGTCAGCGATGGTGAGACTAGCTCAGGAAAGGGCAGGTTCAGAGCTGTTGTACATGGTGTTGGTGTGAGTTGTAGTCAACTCAATGGCACATAACAACAACAACATGGCATAGTGAATGGATAAGCATTGAACTGCTAACTAAAAGGTTGATGATTCAAACCTGTCCAGCTATTACTCTTGAGAAAGACCTAGTAACCTTTTCTCACAGATTATAAATGGAAAAACCTTTTGGGACAGTTTTACTCTGTAAAAGTTAGTGTTTCAAAAAAGAGGCATTATGGTGTCGTCGGATCAAGTTGTACTGCTAACTGCATATCTCCAGCAGTTCAAATCAACCAGCTGCGTCTTAGGAGAAAGATACTCAGTTTCCTCCCATTGTGATTTACAGGCATTGGAAGCCCACTGGAAGGTTGCTATAAGTCATAACGGACTTGACAGCCATAAGTTTGAGTCATAAAACAACTGGACAGTAACTAACAGCAAAAAGGTTTAGATTGCATTTCAAATAATAAAGTATGTTGTTGTTAGGTGTCAAGCCAACTCATATTGATCATATGAACAGCTGAGTGAAAGTTCTCTGGATCCTGTGCCCTTTTCATAATCCCTGTCATCTCCTAGCCTATTGTTGCAGTCACTGTGTCAGTCCATCTCCTCAAGTCATTCTTTTCTTTACTGACCCTCTACTTTCCACAGTAAAAGTCCTTCCCTACATTTCAAATAAGTGGTGACTATGACTTTAACTGGAAGAAAAACTTTGGGTGTTGGTTTTGTTTGGGTTTTTTTTTTTTAATACATGTTTACTTTTCTCAAATATGATGTAAAGGAGCGTGACAAAATAATCGGATCAGTCCTAATATGTGACTTTGTTTTGAAAAATTAAGCTTGTTGTATTATATGTTGTTGTTGTTATTTGCCATCTAGTCACCTGCAATTCATAGCGACTCTATGTAGAATAGCTCTAAACCCCACTGTATCCTGTGCCAATCTTATTGTCTCCCACACACCTATCCACATTAGTCCAGTAACTGAATCAATCCATTTCATTGAGGGTCTTCCTCTCCTGTACTGTCCCTCCAACCTCCCAAGCATTATATCCCTCTCCAGGGACTGATCCTGCCTTGCAACATGTTCAAAGTATGTCATACAAAACTTCAGAATCCTTGCCGCCAAGGAGCAATCTGGCTTCACCCTTTCCAGGATGAACTTGTTTGTTCTTCTAGCAGTCCATGGTATATGCAATACTCTTCTCCAGCACCAACAACTCAAAGGCATCAATTCTTCTTTTGTCATCCCTGGTCCAGCTTTCCTATGCATAGCAAGTAATTGCAAAGACCATGGCCTTTATCAGGCTCACTTTAGTCTCCAGACTGACATCCTTACTCTTCAGTACCTCGGAGAGGTCTCTGACAGCCGACTTTCCGAATGCAATTTGTCTTTTAATTTCCTGGTTGTTGGTACCAAAGAGTGTTGATTGTAGAGCCAAGCAAACTAAAGCTGTTAACAATCTCAAATTCTTCACTGTCTATCATGATGCTGCCAATCATCCCAGTGGTGAGAATCATCGTTTTCTTAATGTTGAGCTTCAATCCATATTGAAGGCTGCAGTGCTTGACCCTCTGCAGCAAGCGCTTCAGGTCTCCCTTAGTCTCAGCAAGCAGGGTTGTGTCATCTGCATAGTGCATTATATAGCTTAAGGAAATTTCATACAGCAGAGGTTAAATAATAGGGGCGTATTCATTTAGCCCACTTTCCTGCCCCCACTCCCCAATTGTTAATATAATGTTGAAAGTCATAATGGATTTTTGTACCTTGAAAGATGCAGTGACCAAAATAGGAACAATTTGAGCAACAAAATGAATAATGATAGTATTGTATTATGACTCAATGGTTAAAATAATATCCATCAGCTATGACATAAATGATTGAATGATGCACAAATAGTTTCTTTTGCATTGGTTAGTTCCTATAAGGCAAAGTTGAGCAGTGTTCCAAATGTTCAAACTGCCATCATCTCTGACATGAATTCTTTCTCCTCCTTTTCCCTTCAGCCCTCACACTCTCATCAATGACTTTGGGTTCTGTGATTCACTGGAAGGTTTAACAGAAACTCAAAAGCTGTTAGGGATATGGCTCACATGAATGTGCATATAGGCAGATGTCACAGAGATTAGTGAATGCTGGGCCAGGAGCACATAGACCAAGGCTGTTGATTGTCACCTATTGGGTGCTGGTTGTTGGTGCAGCTGGATGAGGTTAGATGGAGTGTCCCAAGTGAACAAGCATTGATTGGCTGTGAACCTCTTTTTATATATGATCTCAGGACTATAAACCACACTCCCCAGGAGAATTCAAGATGGTATGAGGGTTATACTTTCTAATCTGATGGAATTTGCGTCTTGCTCTAATCCTATCTCCTTAATACAATATGTCACTCATCCTTTTAACTATAGACAAAAAGCTAGAATCACTAAGTGGAAGGCTACGGATGGAAGGATCATTACTTAGTTTATTGTACTACCAATGAATACAATACCCTACTACAGTTTGGAGGGACAGTGCAGGAGAGGAAGACCCTGGATGAGATGGATTGACACAGTAACTGGGGTAATGAGGGTAGGTGTGTCAGAGACAGTGAGATTGGCTCAGGATAGGGCAGGTTTCAGAGCTATTGTGCATAGGGTCGCTATGAGTCATGGTGGATTATTCGATGGCATGTAATGACAACAATAAATGAATAAATAAAGATGGACAAGGAAACACTTTTATAGAAGAAATGTAACTAATTTGGAAAGAAACAGAAAATTGCCATTAGAATTTCACAAAAATGATTACAAACATGGTCTTCCAATAAATGCTAAAGCTAGTAGGTAAAATAGGACATTTGCATGGTCTCAAAGTATTCCTACAAAACATTTTTATTGTTCACTTTATTTGTTATACTGTAGAATAATACTTTCTAAATAGAAGATACCCATCTTAACTGAGTTGCCAAGTAATAAATCATACACCAGTTATCAAAGATGTCAACATTGCCTAGCCCTGGCATGATACATGAATAAAGGCACAACACCCTGATAATCTTCCCCAAATGAATTACCTCTGTCACAAGAAATTATTCTAGGAAAATTTCAGAGAGACTTAAAATGGAGGCGTATACTACAAAATTCCTGTCCAGTACTCTTTAAATTTTTATGTTAGCCATAATTTGTTATGATCCACACATAATCAATAAAGCACAAATTCTTCAGATATTCTTGACTTACAGCCAGGATCTATCTGATAACAACAACAATATCCCTAGTGCCATGGCTTCTTCTAAACCCAAGTTAAACATCTGGAAGCTCTCTGTCAGTGTACTGTTCTAGCCATTTTTGGTTAATCTTTAGCAATATTTATTTTAGCATATTTTTACTATAATTAATATATTTATTGACTGTGCAAAAACATTTGATTATGTGGATCATAACAAACTATGGCTAACATTGAGATGAATGGAAATCCCAGAACACTCAATTGTGCTCATTTGAAATCTATACCTAGACCAAAAAGCTGTTGTCTGAACAGAGCAAGGAAAGACTATGTGGTTTAAAATTAAGAAAGTTGTGCATCAGGGCTGTGTCCTTTCTTTATACCTATTTGGCATTTATGCTGAACAAATCATTCGAGAAGCCAATCCCTATGGAATAGAATGTGGTATCAGGATCAGAGGAAGACTCATCAAAAACTTGCATTATGCATATGACACAACCTTACTGAAAATGAGGACTTATAAGTACCCTTGCTGAAGAAGATAAAAGACTACAGCCTTCAATATGGATGATTATCTCAACATTAAGAAAACAAAAATTCTCACTACTGAACTGTTAGGCAGTATCATGCTAAATGGACAAAAAGTTGAAATTGTCAATGATTTCATCTTACTTGAATCCACAGTAAATACCCTCAGACAGAGAAGAATCAGTAGTCAGAAAACATGAATTTGGTGACAGAAATGAAGCTGCAGATACTGTCCATGAGTTATTAATTGCAAATACCTTTTATAAGAAACATAAAAGAAAAAAAACCCATAAAACACAACTGTACATGTAGACCTCACCTCATGATCTGCACAAGAATCATATTGACTACATCTGTGGAAAGAATTGTTGGAGAAGCTCAATATCAGCTGTTAAAACTAGGACAGGTGCTGATTGTGGAACAGAACATCAAATACTCAAGTTCAAATAAGTTAAAAGAAAATTGAATCAGTCAGAGATTGATCGAACACACAATCAAGATGCTTTGATAATAATGGATAACTGGAGTGCAAAAGTTGGGAACAGAGAAGAAGAATCAGTAGTTGGAAAACATGGACTTGGTGAAAGAAATGAAGCTGGAGATAGAATGATTGAATTTTGCACAAT